TTCGTTTTTGACGTATCTCTTCAAATAACCGAGAAAATGGCACATTTTGGAATTTTAAAAATTGGTCCGTTTTCGACCGTTTTGGGTGTCATTTCACGCGGAATTTCCTCAGGATCACGATTCCGTATTCGTTTTTGACGTATCTCTTCAAATAACCGAGAAAATGGCACATTTTGGAATTTTAAAAATTGGTCCGTTTTCGACCGTTTTGGGTGTCATTTTACGCGGAATTTCCTCAGGATCACGATTCCGTATTCGTTTTTGACGTATCTCTTCAAATAAGCGAGAAAATGGCAAAAATTTGAATTTTCAAAATTGGTCCGTTTTCGACCGTGTTGGATGTCATTTTACGCGGAATTTCCTCAGGATCACGATTCCGTATTCGTTTTTGACGTATCTCTTCAAATAAGCGAGAAAAATGCAAATTTTGGAATTTTCAAAATTTGTCTGTTTTCGACCGTTTTGGGTGTCATTTCACGCGGAATTTCCTCAGGATCACGATTCCGTATTCGTTTTTGACGTATCTCTTCAAATAAGCGAGAAAAATGCACATTTTGGAATTTTAAAAATTGGTCCGTTTTCGACCGTTTTGGGTGTCATTTCACGCGGAATTTCCTCAGGATCACGATTCCGTATTCGTTTTTGACGTATCTCTTCAAATAACCGAGAAAATGGCACATTTTGGAATTTTAAAAATTGGTCCGTTTTCGACCGTTTTGGGTGTCATTTTACGCGGAATTTCCTCAGGATCACGATTCCGTATTCGTTTTTGACGTATCTCTTCAAATAAGCGAGAAAATGGCAAAAATTTGAATTTTCAAAATTGGTCCGTTTTCGACCGTGTTGGATGTCATTTTACGCGGAATTTCCTCAGGATCACGATTCCGTATTCGTTTTTGACGTATCTCTTCAAATAAGCGAGAAAAATGCAAATTTTGGAATTTTCAAAATTTGTCTGTTTTCGACCGTTTTGGGTGTCATTTCACGCGGAATTTCCTCAGGATCACGATTCCGTATTCGTTTTTGACGTATCTCTTCAAATAAGCGAGAAAAATGCACATTTTGGAATTTTAAAAATTGGTCCGTTTTCGACCGTTTTGGGTGTCATTTCACGCGGAATTTCCTCAGGATCACGATTCCGTATTCGTTTTTGACGTATCTCTTCAAATAACCGAGAAAATGGCACATTTTGGAATTTTAAAAATTGGTCCGTTTTCGACCGTTTTGGGTGTCATTTTACGCGGAATTTCCTCAGGATCACGATTCCGTATTCGTTTTTGACGTATCTCTTCAAATAAGCGAGAAAATGGCAAAAATTTGAATTTTCAAAATTGGTCCGTTTTCGACCGTTTTGGGTGTCATTTCACGCGGAATTTCCTCGGGATCACGATTCCGTATTCGTTTTTGACGTATCTCTTCAAATAACCGAGAAAATGGCACATTTTGGAATTTTAAAAATTGGTCCGTTTTCGACCGTTTTGGGTGTCATTTTACGCGGAATTTCCTCAGGATCACGATTCCGTATTCGTTTTTGACGTATCTCTTCAAATAAGCGAGAAAAATGCACATTTTGGAATTTTAAAAATTGGTCCGTTTTCGACCGTTTTGGGTGTCATTTCACGCGGAATTTTCTCAGGATCACGATTCCGTATTCGTTTTTGACGTATCTCTTCAAATAACCGAGAAAATGGCACATTTTGGAATTTTAAAAATTGGTCCGTTTTCGACCGTTTTGGGTGTCATATTACGCGGAATTTCCTCAGGATCACGATTCCGTATTCGTTTTTGACGTATCTCTTCAAATAACCGAGAAAATGGCACATTTTGGAATTTTAAAAATTGGTCCGTTTTCGACCGTTTTGGGTGTCATTTTACGCGGAATTTCCTCAGGATCACGATTCCGTATTCGTTTTTGACGTATCTCTTCAAATAACCGAGAAAATGGCACATTTTGGAATTTTAAAAATTGGTCCGTTTTCGACCGTTTTGGGTGTCATTTTACGCGGAATTTCCTCAGGATCACGATTCCGTATTCGTTTTTGACGTATCTCTTCAAATAAGCGAGAAAATGGCAAAAATTTGAATTTTCAAAATTGGTCCGTTTTCGACCGTTTTGGGTGTCATTTCACGCGGAATTTCCTCGGGATCACGATTCCGTATTCGTTTTTGACGTATCTCTTCAAATAACCGAGAAAATGGCACATTTTGGAATTTTAAAAATTGGTCCGTTTTCGACCGTTTTGGGTGTCATTTTACGCGGAATTTCCTCAGGATCACGATTCCGTATTCGTTTTTGACGTATCTCTTCAAATAAGCGAGAAAAATGCACATTTTGGAATTTTAAAAATTGGTCCGTTTTCGACCGTTTTGGGTGTCATTTCACGCGGAATTTTCTCAGGATCACGATTCCGTATTCGTTTTTGACGTATCTCTTCAAATAACCGAGAAAATGGCACATTTTGGAATTTTAAAAATTGGTCCGTTTTCGACCGTTTTGGGTGTCATATTACGCGGAATTTCCTCAGGATCACGATTCCGTATTCGTTTTTGACGTATCTCTTCAAATAACCGAGAAAATGGCACATTTTGGAATTTTAAAAATTGGTCCGTTTTCGACCGTTTTGGGTGTCATTTTACGCGGAATTTCCTCAGGATCACGATTCCGTATTCGTTTTTGACGTATCTCTTCAAATAAGCGAGAAAAATGCACATTTTGGAATTTTCAAAATTGGTCCGTTTTCGACCGTTTTGGGTGTCATTTCACGCGGAATTTCCTCAGGATCACGATTCCGTATTCGTTTTTGACGTATCTCTTCAAATAAGCGAGAAAATGGCAAAAATTGGAATTTTCAAAATTGATCCGTTTTCGACCGTGTTGGGTGTCATTTTACGCTGATTTTCCTCAGGATCACGGTTCCGTATTCGTTTTTGACGTATCTCTTCAAATAAGCGAGAAAATGGCAAAAATTGGAATTTTCAAAATTGGTCCGTTTTCGAGCGTGTCGGGTGTCATTTTACGCGGATTTTCCTCAGGATCACGATTCCGTATTCGTTTTTGACGTATCTCTTCAAATAAGCGAGAAAAATGCAAATTTGTCTGCCCCTCATTTTTTTTTCGAATTTTCAAAATTGGTCCGTTTTCGACCATGTTGGGTGTCATTTCACGCGGAATTTCGTCAGAATTCCGATTCCCTATTCACTTTTCACGTATCTCTTCAAATAAGCGAGAAAAATGCAAATTTGTCTGCCCCCCTTTTTTTTCGAATTTTCAAAATTGGTCCGTTTTCGACCGTGTTGGGTGTCATTTCACGCGGAGTTTTTTCAGGATTACGATTCCGTATTCGCCTTTGACGTATCTCTTCAAATAAGCGAGAAAAATGCAAATTTGTCTGCCCCTCTTTCCTTTTCGAATTTTCAAAATTGATCCGTTTTCGACCATGTTGGGTGTCATTTCACGCGGAATTTCCTCAGAATTACGATTCCGTGATCGCTTTTGATGTAGCGCTTCAAATGAAATATCGATTTTTTTTTTTAATTTCTTGAAATTTTTAATAATTCTCATTTCGTACCGATTATTTCGAAAATGTTGCTCCATGACCATCAACACGCTATATTTTTGGAATCAGCATGTCGAGACAACTTTTTTAAAAGTGAAATTTTTTCAATGGCCTTCAAATAACGGAAAAATTTTGAAATTTTTTAAATTTAACCAAAAACATTTTCTTGAATATTTCGAGCTCTAGAACTCGTTTCCTGCTTCGTTTTTTTGATAACTAGAAAGGTTTTTCCATAATTGGTCGTCGAAAAATCGAAATTCTAGAAATTTTCAAAAATTTGCTTTTCATGCCGATTTTTTCGAAAATGTTGCTCTTGGACCTGCTATATTTTTGGAATCAGCATATCGAGATCTACATCCCTGAAGGTTTTCAGAATTTTTAGACAAATTTTTTAAAAGTGAAATTTTTCCAGTGGTCCTCCGTTCTTCAAATTTCGGCCAATTTTTGAAATTTTCGAAACTTAACCAACTACATTTTCTTGTAGATTTCGAACTCTAGAATCTATTTCCGGCCTCGTTTCTTTGACAACTACAATCGCTTTTCCAGAATCCATCGTCGAAAATGTTGCTCCGTGACCATTAAAACGCTATATTTTTGGAATCAGCGTGTCGAGATCTCCGTCCCTGAATTTTTTCACAATTTTAGACAACTTTTTTGAATGTGAAATTTTTTCAATGGTCCCCCCTTCTTCAAATGGAAACTAATTTCGACATGCTGATTCCAAAAATACAGCATGTTTTAGCTTCCGGTGCTGGGCTTAAAAATATTCGTTTTAAAAACTTTTGTTTTAATTCATTCAACGCAAAATTTCAGTGAGCAATTCTGGAAAAATTGTACCAGCCATCAAAGAAATGAAATCAATACCAACTTCTGGAGGTCGAAGTCTTTAAGATGTCTCGTTGAATTTCACAAATTGTGATCTCTGAAAGTCTTTCTTTCTGAAAACTAGTCCTGAAACATTCAGACCCTTTTAGAAAAACAATAAAAGCTTGGAATGAACTGTATAAATAATTCACACACCTGGGTCGCTTTTAGATTTACGTTTTAAATACACTTTTAGTTCAATTACGTTCAACTTTCGCTATCCGCTCCCTCTGGAATAACGGAAACAAGAATTTTAAAGAGACCATTCCACTGCGGCTTCGTGAGTTTAGACATAGGGCGCCATCTCTTTATCTTCAGTTATAGTTCGAGTAGAGAGCTTCTCCGACCTGCTCCATGAGCTGCCGAATTTATATAAACACCGCGATTACCGTAATTAATCCGAGACAATGTTATCAGACAGATAAGCCTCCGCCCGTCCCCCCGCTCCGTTTTGGTCCCGGCCCTCCCAGCGCCCTGCCTTGCCGGCCCCCTAGCCGTCCCCATCCGCTTCCCCTCCTCCTCCGCCAGAGCGCAGCACGTCCCGCGAAATCCCGACTCTTCGCACAGGCTTAAAATGGTGGCCTGTCACAGAAGCAGCACGTATCTAGGGCGGGGAGATTTTCGTTCGGTAGCGATCTAAATACGTGCGTTTAATTTTCGAAAAAAAATCTCCCACGATGTCGAGCGTCCTGGCCGTGCCGTCGGCAGTCCGAAGTGCTCCGGTTCCGCACCCGTGCCTGTGTTCGTACGTGTTTAGCTAATTCCGTGTGTGTATGTGTGTGTGTCATCCTAATCAAAGGTAAACAATAGGTTTTTCGTCTCTGTCCCGCTCGCGGCCGCAGGAAATCTCGCCTCGAAAACACAAAGAAAATGCGCCGTTAGTGCTGTTTGTGTCTGTTTGTTTTAAGATCCCCCGTCTTGAGGGGAAATCGATGGACGGGGCTGCAGGGGGTGTCCTTATCAAAGCAGAAGGCGCAGGTTCCAATCCCGAACGGCACGTTGAATGCCCACCGGCAGGAGCGTGAACGCAGTCCTGCCGCTTTTTGCAGGAATCACCCGTGAAAGTCGACCAGCCTTGGACCGTTAAAGAGAAAGTGCGGGATGCTCATGGAGTAGAGTAGAATGCGAATGTCGGCACAGAAGAAACGGACTGTGGGAGTGATAAGAATGAAACCCGTGCCGGCGAAGAAGAAGGACGGGAAAGCCGAAAAGGACTTCATTTCTGAGACTATCTCGTTCGTGATCAAGGGGAAGTTGACGCCGATCAAGCCCACCTTTGTAGCCAAAAAAGCGGGAATCAGGAAGAAGGCGGCGAAGAAACCTAAGGAGGCGGAGAAGAAGCCCGCGATGAGGAAAGCAAAGAAGGTGGCCGAAACGGCCAAACCCGTCAAGGGAAAGAACATCAAGAAGGCCAAAGTCACGAAAAAGGAGGCAGAACCCAAGAAGGACGTCAAAGACGCGGTTAAGAAACCCAAAGAAACGAAAAAAGTGGCGAACGAAGCCAAGAAAAAGGTGAAGAAGGTGGTCCCGAAGAGGGGCAAGTCCCCTCAGAAACTAGAACCCGCAGACAAAGATAAAGATAAGGAGAAGGAAAAGGAAAAAGAGAGTAAACCCGAAGCAGCGGAAGACGAAAAAGCCGACGACATCAAGACCCGCCAGACCATCGAGAAGCTCCTCAAACAAGCCAACCGCGCTCTCAAGCAGCCCCTCAAGAACAAAAGCACCCTCCAGAAATCAAAAAAACACAAAATCAACAAAAAACCCAAGACCAAACCCGACAATAAACCCAAAGCGGGCAAACCCATCAAGCAGGAACCCAGCGAGAACGCCAAGAAACCCCCGAAGCGAAAAATCCCGGAAAGTTCCGGGGACACCTCCGCGTCCGACGACGTCCCCCTAGACGAACTCCGCACGCCAATCAAAACCGAATCCGAGCAACCCAAATCAAAGAAATTAAAGATAAAAGCGGAGCCGGCTTCCGATGGCGAGAAAGAGAAAAAATCGCGCAAGCCGACGTTAAAAGCCCCGAAGAAAATCCCGACCAAAGCTAATTTAGTCTTAATGAAAAAACGCGTAATAACCGGCGTTAAAGATAAAGTGAAACGTAAGGAGAATCAGCGCTCGAGGAAAATGAAGCTGTTCGGGTTCTGGAACGGGCCGAAGCGGCACCGAGTCGCTTCTTTGAACGCGTTAGCCAAAGTTCACTGCCTCTACGAGAACGAAACTCGGAGTAATCTGCTCGACCCGATCGAGAGCGTCGACAAGAAGGAGATCCTCGAGGATAAGAAAAGCGAAGAGGTGATCCCGTGCACGCGGACGCTGCGCTCGGTGCCGGGGCTGCGCGCCGTGGGCAAGCACTGGGACATGCACGACACCACGTCGAGCTCGGAGGATAACAGCGGCTACGAGAGCACCGGCGACGTGGAGGAGAAACCCAAGCCGAAGGTGAAAAAGGAGGTGAAGAAGACGGAGCCGGTGAAAAAGCCCGAGCAGAAGCGGCGGCGGAACCGGACGGAGTTGATCATGGATTTGAAGGATATGGTGGTGCGGAAGAGGATGGCGAGTTTGAACGCGAGCGCGATTCTCGCGGCGAGCTACTCGGTGGAGAAGAGGGCGTCCAAGAGTCCGAAGAGCGACTCGGAGACGGATTCGAGCGACTACTTCGTCACGGATACTGAGGAGGAGCCGGAGAAGAAGTGCTTCGAGGCGAAGGTGAAGAAGGAGGAGGATAGTAAATTGATTGAAGTGCGGGCGACGCCGAATAAGAAGGTCGCGGTAATTTTGAACCAGGACACGGATGTGACCATCACGGGGGTGTATGTTAACAGCACCACGAGGTCGACGCATCATGAAGGGTATTGCAGCATCGCAGGGATGCAGTACAGGATTTCGGCGACGAGTCATACCCAGACTGCGGCCACTGCCGTGGCTACCGAGACCTTGCTGCAGTCGTCATCCAACAGCACCCAAGAGAATGTGAGTTGACAGGAAAAGGGTGGTATTGATAGCGGTGCTGTCAGACTTGAATTCACGTAATTGTCTAAAGTAAAAGTCGATTGTTAGCCACATTTCTTCGAGAGAGAAAGTTTGGGTTTCTCAATACCTACAAGAATAGAAAACTTAGAAAATCCCCATTATTCGTTCAAGTTTTCACAATCTGTACCCTTACTTAAGTTATTACAAAGTAAAATAAGTGCACATCAGAATGTTGTAAAGTGTATCATTAATTTAGGGGTAGTGCAAAGATCCTTACTTATTCCTGCGTCATTTTTGATTTTTGTTAATGACGTGTAGTGGTTTTAAAAATGACGAAGCTGAAAAGACACAAATTTTAGGTCACCGACAAATAATTTAACAAAATGTGCATGTAAAGATCGCTATTGAATTTGTTATTTTGTCAAAGAACAATGACATAGCTCATTAATACAGGAGTGGTCCAAGGTTTCTTACCTGTACCTCGTCCATTTTTGATTTCTAATAATGACATAAAGTCGTTTTAAAACTGATGAACCTTAAAAACCGTAATAAATAATGATGAATCTTAATAAATTATTTGAATTTGTAAATTTTTCAAAAAACAATGACCATTCAGTTTGAAAAATAGAGACAAATATCTCATTAATACAGGAGTAGTCCAAGGTTCCGTATCTACATTTATGCCATTTTTGGTTTTTATCAATGACGTGAAGCCGTTTTAAAAATGATGAATCTTAAAAAACCTTAATAAATAATGACGAACCTTAATAAATGAGTTCAGAAGACTTAGCCAGATTTATTACATTAACCTTAAAAGACACAAATTTTAGGCATCAAAAAATAATTTAACAAAATGTGGCTATAATAGTGTTCTCCTATTACAGGTCTTGTAAAGATCACTATTGAATTTGTAATTTTGTCAAAGAACAATGACCATTTAGGTTGAAGATTTTGAATAGGGAAAATAGCTCATTAATACAGAAGTACTCCAAGGTTCCTTCGTGTACTTCGTCAATTTTTAATTTCTAACAATGACGTGAGGTCGTTTTAAAAATGATGAACCGCAAAAACCGTAATAAATAATGATGAACCTTAATAAATAGATTCAGAAGATTTAACCAAATTTATTATATTAGCCTTAGAAGACACAAATTTTAGGTCACGGACAAATGAATTAACAAAATGTGTCTACAACACTGATCCCCTAGTTATGGCTGCATGTAAGGATCACTATTGAATTTATAAATTTTTCAAAAAACAATGACGATTCGGTTTGAAAAATTTTGAATAAATGGAGAAAAATAGCTCATTAATGTAGGGGTAGCCCAAGGTTCCTTATTTACATTTATGCCATTTTTGGTTTTTATCAATGACGTGAAGCCGTTTCAAAAATGATGAATCTTAACAACCTTAATAAATAATGACGAACCTTAATAAATGAGTTCAGAAGACTTAGCTAGATACATTACATTAACATGGAAAGACACAAATTTTAGGCATCAAAAAATAATTTAACAAAATGTGGCTATAACAGTGTTCTCCTATTATAGGTCTTGTAAAGATCACTATTGAATTTGTAATTTTGTCAAAGAACAATGACCATTTAGGTTGAAAGATTTTGGATAGAGAAAAATAGCTCATTAATGCAGGAGTACTCCAAGGTTCCTTCCTGTACTTCGTCAATTTTTAATTTCTAACAATGACGTGAGGTAGTTTTAAAAATGATGAACCGCAAAAACCGTAATAAATAATGATGAACCTTAATAAATAGATTCAGAAGACTTAACCAAATTTATTATATTAGCGTTAAAAGACACAAATTTTAGGTCACCGACAAATGATTTAACAAAATGTGTCTACAACACTGAGCCCTAGTTATAGCTGCATGTAAGGACCACTATTGAATTTATAAATTTTTCAAAAAACAATGACCATTCGGTTTGAAAGATTTTGAATAAATGGAGAAAAATAGCTCATTAATACAGGGGTAGTTCAAGGTTCCTTATTTATATTTATGCCAGTTTTGGTTTTTATCAGTGACCTGAAGCCGTTTTAAAATGACGAATCTTAAAAACCTTAATAAATAATGACGAACCTTGATAAATGAGTTCAGAAGACTTAACCAAATTTATTATATAAATGACCATTCAGCTTAAAGGATTTTGAATAAATCGAAAATAATAGTTCATTAATACAGGAGTAGACCAAGGTTCTTACTTGCACCTTTTCCATTTTCGGTTTCTATCAATGACATGAAGTCGTTTTAAAAAAAGACAGATTTTAGGTCACCGACAAACACAACAAAATGTGGCTACAATACTGATCCCCTAGTTCTAGTTGCATGTAAGGATCAATATTGATTAACTCACAACCAACTTGTGAAATCACTAATAAATCCCCAAAAAAAGCTCGGGACCCAATTCGGACCCACTTTGACCTAATTCACCCCGATTAACACTGCTGACTTTCAGAGTAACAGCGACTCGCTGACCTCCTGCAAGTCGTACACCCCTCTGGACGCATTATCCAACATGCAGCCCCCTCCAGGGCCGGGCATCCAGCATGGGGCCCATCAGCACATGGGACCACCTCAGCATGTTCTACCTCTGCCCCAACACCAGCTGTCTCCGAGTAGGCGGCACGGCTGTTCGAGTGCTTTCTCCACCCCACATGCGCCCCCGCCGTACCCCCCACACCACACCGTGGACCCTGGATACCCGCACGGTAAGTCGATAGGGTAGTTGGAAAAAATTCAACTGAATAGCTTTATTGCGCCCGACATTATTATTAATTTTAGATCGTGTTGATTTTACAAATTTATTACACGTGTTGGAGGATTATGTTGTTTATGTAATCAGCGCTTGCCCTTTTCGCCCGATTAAATCCAATAATCAAGTAATGTGGTGATAATGAGTATGTTAATTGATAGCATAATAACTGGATACGTCAGAGTGTGATTAATGTAAATAGTGGGTTAGTTGCATCATACGAATTTGGATAATATTGAAACAGGGGAAGGGTGTTTGAGGGTTCAGGGAACGTTCGGAGGTGAGACACGTTTTCGTTATGAAGATGTTCCTCGACGGTTATGATTAATCGTGCCGATTTGTCGTTAATAGATAACTAATTAATCTTTTTTCGGCTGCGGCTAATCCCGTTCTAAATTGTGGACTCGACTTACAACAAAAATGTAGTGATACAGACGTTATAATTTCAGCAGCAATATTACAGTTTTTTCACATCCTCCTGAAATGCAAACAGCCACTTTACAACTAGCAATTTCCTATCGACTGCTGGCGTGCCTTCAGCAGGACGAAAATATAGCCTGCGAGTTCGGATGATGTTTTATCGGTTCTGAGAATGTTCGGTGAATACGACTCGAAACTTTAAATGGTCGAGTCGTGTCGAAAAGAAACGACGCGAAAAGTGACTACGTTTTTGTTTTCGTTGCGGCTAGTCATGAGGTGCATTAGATAATCGCCTTTCGCTTATGGAAGCTAAAATGTTTGCTGTGCATTTTAATTTATGTTGTTGTTTAAGGTAACAATTCAATTATGGCGCGGAAAAAATTATCGGGAAAGGTTTTATCTTTATGTCGGGTTTAGTTAGGTTGACTTGTCGTAATTGAGTGCTTGTAAGTTTGAGTTACTCAGCGGATCTGGAATGTTATTGTGTGTAACATGTGTATTGTTTATTGTGGTGATTAAAGTTTTCTTAACGACATTGTTGTGAAACACAATCAATCACTGATCGGGTATAAATTAAAAGCGAACGACTGTTTAAAGATGAAATTTTGGAAGTTGAGAGGGAAATAGTGAAGGAAAAGGCACAGTTTTACGAAAATTGTTCTGGGAAAAATGTGGCCGTTGTATTGATTGAACTAATTGGGTTAAAATGGTAGCCAACTAATTATTTATGAACTTGGCGCTAGAAAATTGGTGATCTAAATGCGAAGTGAATTGAATTGTCGAACCACTTGTCATTCTCAGTAGATGCTTAACTTCGCCTGTTTATGTTTATCCTGAGTGATTATTATTAATTTATTATTAATGATTGAATCAAATTTTTTTGTTGGCAATTCTGAATTATTGGCAGTAGCAGTGTTAGCCTGTAAGTTGTCAATTTTTTGTAAAATTTCAATGTTACAACAGACATAAAATTTTAAATATGTTGCTAACCTCACAAAAAAATCACAAATTCCATTATTAAGGACGTGCAGTGCTGTGGCAAATCAAGTCATGTCAGGTCAGGTCAGGTCAGGTCAGGTTGAACCAGGTCGCGAAAAATATGAGGCAGGTAAAAGAGGAAAAAAGAATACAAAAATAAAATGAAGAAGAGGAGAATTGAAAATAAGGCTCTAAACAACAAACACAATAACAAACAAATTTGAAATAAGAAACCAAGACAAAAACAAACAAATTAGGAGAAATGTTGAACAGAAAAGAAGTCAAAAGAACATATTATATTCTTAAAATACATTTGGCGCCCTCCAGAAGGTTTTAGATTTTTAAAAAAGCCAATTGGAACCCCCGAGAAGGTTTCACATTAAAAAAATATATTTGGGGCCCCGGGAAGGTTTAAAATGTTTTTTAAAGACAGTTGGGAACTCCGACAAGGTTTCACGTTCTAAAAAAAAATACATTTGGGGCCCCTGAGAAGATTTTACATTTTTAAAAAAAGCCAGTTCAAAACCCCGAGAAGGTTTCACATTATTAACAAAAGACATTTGGGGCCCCCGACAAGGTTTTACATTTTTAAAAAAGACACTTGGGACTTCCGACAAAGTTTCACATTCTACAAAAATAAAAAAAAAATGGGACCCCGAGAAGGTTTTACATTTATAAAAAAGCCAGTTGGAACCCCCGCGAAGGTTTCACATTAAAAAAAGACATTTGGGGCCCCGGGAAGGTTTAAATTTTTTTTAAAGATAGTTGGGACCTCCGACACGGTTTCACATTCTACAAAAAAAAATTGGGGCCCCCGAGAAGGTTTTACATTCTTAAAAAAGCCAATTGGGACTTCTGACAAGGTTGCACACTCTACAAAAAAAAAAATTGGGGCCCCCGAGAAGGTTTTATATTTATAAAAAACAACCAATTGGGACCCCCGAGAAGGTTTCACATCCTTAAAAATAGACATTTGGCGCCCCCGAGAAGGTTTTACATTTTTAAATAAAAAGACAATTGGGAGCCCCGAGAAGGTTTCATATTATTAAAAAAAATACATTTGGGGCCCCCGAGGTTTTACATAAAAAAAAAAATGGGACCCTCGACAAAGTATCACATTCTTAAAAATAGACATTTGGCGCCCCTGGGAAGGTTTTACATTTTTAAATAAAAAGACAGTTCGGAGCCCCGAGAAGATTTTACATTCTTAAAAAAATACATTTACATGTATAAAAATTCCAGTTGGAACCCCCGCGAAGGTTTCACATTAAAAAAAAAACGTATAAGGCCCCCGAGAAGGAGGTTTTACATTTTTAAAAAAGACAGTTGGGACCTCCTACGCGGTTTCACATTATAAAAAAAAATACATTTGGGCCCCCGAGAAGGTTTTACATTTTTAAAAAAGCCAATTGGAACCCCCGAGAAGGTTTCACATTAAAAAAAAAGACATTTGGGGCCCACGAGAAGGTTTTAAATTTTTTTAGAGACATTTGGGACCTCCGACATGGTTTCACATTCTAAAAAAAAAATACATTTGGGGCCCCCGAGAAGGTTTTATATTTTTAAAAAACCCAGTTGGGACTTCCGAAAAGCCTTCACATTCTACAAAAAAACAAAAAAGAATTGGGGCACCCGAGAAGATATTACATTTATTAAAAAAAAAAAAACCGATTGGGACCCCCAAGGTTTCACAAGCTTAAAAATAGACATTTGGCGCCTCCGAGGTTTTACATTTTTAAATAAAAAGACAGTTGGGAGCCTCGAGAAGGTTTCACATTCTTAAAAAAAATATACTTGGGGCCCCCGAGAAGGTTTTACATTAAAAAAAAAAAAATTGGGACCCCCGAGAAGGTTTCACATTCTTAAAAGTAGAGATTTGGCGCCCCTGGGAAGGTTTTACATTTTTAAATAAAAAGACAGTTCGGAGCCCCGAGAAGGTTTTACATTCTTAAAAAAATACATTTACATTTATAAAAAATCCAGTTGGAACCCCCGTGAAGGCTTCACATAAAAAAAAAACGTTTAGGGCCCCCGAGAAGGTTTTACAATTTTAAAAAGACAGTTGGGACCTCCTACGCGGTTTCACATTATAAAAAAAATACATTTGGGCCTCCGAGAAGGTTTCATATTCTGAAAAAAAATACATTTGGGGCCCCCGAGAAGGTTTTATATTTTTAAAAAAGCCACTTGGGACTTCCGACAAGGTTTCACACTCTACAAAAAAAAACATTGGGGCCCCGAGAAGGTTTTACATTTTAAAAAAGCTAGTTGGAACCCTCGAGAAGGTTCCACATTAAAAAAAAAACATTCGGGGCCCCCGAGAAAGTTTTAAATTTTTTAAAAGACAGTTGGGACTCCCGATAATGTTTCATATTTTGAAAAAAATACAATTGGGGGCCCCGAGAAGGTTTCACATTCTTAAAAATAGAGATTTGGCGTGCCTGGGAAGGTTTTACATTTTTAAATAAAAAGACAGTTCGGAGCCCCGAGAAGGTTTTACATTCTTAAAAAAATACATTTACATTTATAAAAAATCCAGTTGGAACCCCCGTGAAGACTTCACATTAAAAAAAAACGTTTAGGGCCCCCGAGAAGGTTTTACAATTTTAAAAAAGACAGTTGGGACCTCCTACGCGGTTTCACATTATAAAAAAAAGACATTTGAGGCCCTCGAGAAGGTTTTACAAAAGACAGTTGGAACGTCCGACAAGGTTTCACATTCTACAAAAAAAAAAAATTGGGGCCCCGAGAAGGTTTTACATTTTAAAAAAGCCAGTTGGAACCCTCGAGAAGGTTCCACATTAAAAAAAAAACATTCGGGGCCCCCGAGAAAGTTTTAAATTTTTTAAAAGACAGTTGGGACCCCCGAGAATGTTTCATATTTTGAAAAAAATACAATTGGGGGCTCCGAGAACGTTTTACATTTTTAAATAAAGAGGGGCGTATTCTCACTTTTTCGAGAAACTGGTGTAATTTCATGAATAAAAAATTTGTAATGACGCCATAAACATAAATAAATACACATTGCGAGAGAAACAGAAAAAACAAAACAAATTAATGGACCCAAGTTTGGAATCGAACGCGCGACGTCCGGTCGGCATTCCTGACTCATAACCACTACACACCACGACCTTACGCTAATAGTAAAACTCTTATGATACCCTGCATCATGTTTTTGCAAAAATTTGGACGGTTAGGGAAAAACACAAAACGGATTCGTACACCACACTTACAGGACTATATTGTTGTATAACAGTTAAATCGAATAAACCAAGGATTCTTTGAAATGACGTCATCAAATTGGTAGTGGGGATGATTACCAATTTTTTTTTATATACAAAATTTGACAACAATCGGTCCAGCAGTTTCGGAGATTACGTGTCTAATAAAAATGGATGCAGACACCAGACAGACACACAGACAGACGAACGGAAACGGGAGACTACTTCAATTAAGAAGGTACAAAATAGAGGTGGATTAAAAATGGGGGTTATTAAATTTTATTAGGCAAATTTTGGGGAGCGATTTAACAGCCACACAATTTTAGTGAAATACATT